CAAAAGAGCCATTCAAAACCTTCTCACATTTAACCGCTGTGTCAAGCGGAAGCACTCTGAAGTAATCCGAGTGATAGCAATTACCAACAGTAACAAAATGTTGGCAAAACTGTCGATGACTAGTTCTTTCGAGGATTATTTAAATGCAAACTGAGAACGCCACTGTCCTAGTGTAACAAGCTACAATCTATACACTATTGAAATGAATGAATGAAACGCAGAGTATTTATATGAAGGAATGAATCGCAGAGAATTTATTAGTTGTTCACCGGCTACTTATCACTTTGGCATGCCTGCCAGCTCAGAATTAGATATGACTTTATGATTTATTTACAAAAACAGAACGACCAGGCAAATTAGATTTTTGAGCGGCCTTCTTCCATCATTGGACCGAGATACTTCTCGAACGTTGCTATGACCTGCAACATAAAAATCATCAAAATCTGACACACTTGTACTTTTTTCAGCTCAATTTTCTTGCTACCCTGAATTAAATCAAAAATAAAATGCAGCGTTTTTACGTTCCGACACTAATATCAAAATGTTATTTTCAAATACAGCTGTCTTTAAGAATATTCATTTCCTAAACAACATATCGCAAAAAAAAAAAATTTCAAGTCCGCGCAAAAAAGTGATAATTTTTGCCACTGTGTCAGTGGTTAGGAGATCTTGATTAGTTGAAATTCATAGTTTACCTTTCCAACTATAGAGCTAACAACTTTCCTAGCTGGTTGGATTAGTGCTGCATCACCTGGTTGTCACTCACCAGTAGACTCAACATTCGTTTCGTCGCCAGCAGAAATCAACTCGCCGGTTCTCCAGATGAAAGCACTTGGTGTTAGGCAAGATCTTAACGGTTTTCGGGAAGTAACTGGATGTATTTATTCATTACTACCACATTCTGAATATTGCCATTCCTGGTTTACAGTGAGGTACCTCTAGACTAAAAAGTTGTTTGCATAAATTAAGACCACAAAAAAGTTAAATATTTGTCGGAAACTTTAAAGAAATTACTTCAGTTTTATTCAGCTTCGAATGCTTGGCCCATTCCAACATTGCTGCATAAACGTTACCATCACGTCGACCAAGCACAGAATGAAGCTCACGATCGGAGAAGTCGAACGAGTCCACTAAAGCGACTGCTTCAGGGCGCAAACATTCCATAATTTCATAAACACCGCGTTCAGCGCTTTGCATTTGCTCATCCGACATGTAGTTCGCCTAAATTTACAATTTTTGGCTAACAAGAACGAAATAATGCTCAACACACATCAAGAAAATAATGAAAATTATAAAATCTTGCCAAGTGCTTCTGTCTAGAATTAGCAACAGGCTAACTGGCAAGTGATGGAGCTTTGGTCAATGTAACAGGAAAATTACCAACAATGAACCAAACTATTAACCAGTAGCAGCTGTTTTTCATGCATCCCAAGATGAGCATTTTAAGAGAATCTTTTGATGAATCAACATACAGGATTATAGAGTGATATGAGAAAATAAACTGATAACGTATGAATTTTGTCTTGAAAAGCTAAGAATTCCTCAAATACAAAAGGGATGAATGGACGAACAGTTATTGAATGCGCTGCTTTTTGCAGCTGGCTTCAAAACGGCACTTTTTTACGCCTAACAAATAAATATGGTATTTTCGTCTGCCAAAATAAAGATGTGAGCACCTAACTTAGGATGACCACTGCTATGGTAATCCGCTTTGGTTACAGCAGCCACAGAAAGACCGCCAGCTCCATAGATGCCAAAAAGACACGAAGAAAAGCAACTGACTAGAGGAAGCGAACAAAGTTATCTCAAAACTAGCCATGC